GTTTGCCATTTCAGCATCATTGCAAAGCCACTGACACATCTCCAGAAGAAACATGGGGAGATCCTGAGCTTTGAGGCAACTAAAGAAACAAGATGCTTTTTAGTTATATTTAAGAACAGAAGAGGAAGACAAAGCAACCCTAGGATTTCTCTGCTCACAGTGCTTAATATGAAAAGCTCGACATAAACCCAAGGACGGGCAACCGCTGCTAAACCAGGATCTCCATCTCTTTGAATAAAAGCCATCCTTTCCATCAACCAGCCTACGAGCATCTTCGGTACTATAATGAAGGACGTTGACACTATCCCATTCTACGTAGCAGGGGTAACTCCAGAAACATCCTATCTAAAAATCATTTAGAGATAAGTTTCTACAGAAAGATAAGCGGGTGTACAAATGAACTTTCTTATGATACTATGATACTCAGATACCACTCATTGGATGGGACCGGTGGACCATTGATCGATAAAAAGTAGTAAATAAGAACTTTTCTCGCAGGTACGAGAGGTTGCACAACCTTGCCTTGAACGCTTGAAGTTCTAAATAAATCTGAAGAGGAAGGCCAATTGTATCATGTCAGCAATGGTACTCTCCTGGGCTATAGACTGTCACCTGCTTCAAGGTATCTTGCTTGTGAAAGCCGAACAAAGAAGAAAAGATCGAAATGGCGGTTCATCAGTAGTCAAAGGTGCAGACTTCATTCTTTGTTTCCTTCATCCTCTACCATTAGGTTTTGCTTTTTAGGACTATCTAAAGGAAAGGAATAGAATGATCCATAGTCGTACCTACTTGAGGGCACCGAATGCATACAACTTACGTCATAGATTGAAATGATTGACTTGATCTAGGTACGTGGTCCAAACGGATAGGTAGAATTACCCAGAGGGGGCCCTAGTTTCAGCATAAAAGGAAGAAGTCGGGTCCGCGCAGTTCGCCTTTTCGAATGTAGCAATGTTTTTGGCTTTGGCAATACTGGCTAGCTAGCAACTTACTTGTGTGGGAGTCCTATAAAGAAAAGCCTGAGTTATAGACTGACTAAAGAAATCCACCTAAGCCGTAAGTTTTTGTTACAGCTGGCACACCTGCTTGCAAACTAGAAAATCTGATTCTAGTAGAAAGTGGACTAAGTCTTAAGAGAGATAAGCCGGTCTTTATACACTGGCCCTACTTCAAATTCAGTCAGTGGCCAGATGAATTGTAAGCAATTCCAGTCCAAGCTGCTGAGGTGGTGTAGTCAGCCCTACCTAAGTACTGAACAAAACCAACCATTTGTATAATATTATCCTATCTTGCATATTAATTAAGACCACTTATTAGATCAAGGTTGGCATACATAGCATAGGAAGGTGGAGATCTGAAGTAATCTATATGTCCCTCAGCCAGTCATCCATTTCTCGGGATATGAAGTTTACAACATCAAAAAAATGATCCTTTTCATAATGAAATCCATTACATGCCATCCAAAGAACTTTGATCTGGATTACCGGCTTTGGGGTGGAAGGACGGATCGATCGACCAAGCAACAACAATCCCTTTACGATGGTCAAGTGCGAAGGTCCCGATCGGATTGCCGATCTGCCAATGTTGTTTGACTGACTTTTTTCATCTCAAAACCATTGATGCTGACCTGTCACTACTCAAGTGATTTTCCTGCATGGTTCTAGGAACCAAAAGTAGACTTTGGGTAGGTCAACGATAGATTCTATGTCTATAATCGAATGTAGGTTCTTTTTAGGAGGAAATCTTAGAAGGATTCTTTTCAGAGTGTAAGAACCATCGAAGAGCATGGGATTGGTATTGCTGGCAGGGACTTTAAAGTGAGAGCTTGATCACTAAACCCCTGCTGCTTTCGATCATTCCTGCTAAAGCAGTTGGCAATGACTCATTGGAAACTTCTATTGGATATGGGAGAAGAAGAAATCCAATCAATGGGTAGGTAGTCAATTTCTGGCGAAAGCACAAACCTTTTCTCTTACTTAAGGCGATAAAATCTATTCATTTCGATAATAATCTGTTTGAGAAGGTATATGGTTTATGGTTCTAAGCCGTTGAGTTCGTGTTTTGGTAGTTGTTGTTTTGAAGGATGGCGGATCCAGAGTTGAAGGATAGCCAGGCATACCAACGCCATGCCAACAAGAGGAACCATCCGGACATAAAACAACCGACCTACCCCCTGCCACTCCTTCCTCTAAGTCAAGTTGATAGATTTCTGTATGAGTTTTCAAGTGCCATCTCCAGTCTAAGCGGTTGAGTTCAGTGATTGTATCGAACAAAAGCCCCCTCCTGGGGCAGGTACGCGACTGTCTCTCTTTCAAAGTGTGATCATCTTCTCTAGTCTCCCGTTTCCACCTATTTTAAATGGTCAGCCTGTGCGGCATCAATTGAATTTGAATTCTAAATAAAGTAGACTTCGGTGAAGGAACCTATTCTCTGGTATCTGCTTCGGCCATCTCATCTGGTTTCGGCCTTCTTTGTGAGCAGCTCCTAACTCGCTCGACGGGGTATGATCGCTACTGTTGATAGGTCGATCGGAAAAGAATAAGTTCCAGGACTGAACAGAAAGAAAGTACTCTAACACTTTCTTCACCATTCTTTTCTATGAGGAGCTCTATTTTGCTAATACAAATGTAATGCTACCTCCCTACGGCGATTCATAACTAGAAGAACTCGTTGGCACAACCGGACCTTATTAAAGGCCTCGACCGTCTGATCGACTGAAAGATCTTATCTTGGATTTCTAGTATGGGTCATTGGCCCTTTCTCCTCCTCAGTAGGTGCAAACCCTGGTTCTGTGAATGATTATAACTGCCTTGGAGCTAGATAAGAAAACCTTATTTTGTTTGAGTATGATGGATGTTATAGCCACTGCCAGATACAAGCAAAAGCTTTCCAGCTAAGCTAGGAGTCAGAACGAACTCATGAAGCTATCCTTCTTCTTGGATCTCAAGATTCAAATGGAATTTTATCACCCCGGATTTTGGCTTTCATTTCCACTTTATACTTGAGTTAAGCAAGGCACCAGCATGGGAGAGAAGATATCCCCTCGGGATCGCTTACTAGCCGGCCTGCTTGATTTATTTATGAGGTATCCAGATGGCACTGCACCGGCGAGGGAAAGGGAAGCTGATGAGAGGTAAGGGAAAAGTACATTTAATGAATAGGTTCACTACAGACTGTACTATCTCTAGACCCCCTCTCTATACTCCCTCATAATATATGGATCCCCCGGATAATATTGATCCTCCAACAGCTGACATATCTTATCTAAACTCCCGAAAACCTGGGCATGGCTTTTTCGAACTTAGTTGATTTCGCAAGAAGCAACTTGAAAAGCACAAAGATTACATCTAAACAAACCTTACGTCTTCGTTCGGCTCATTCTTGCTTATCTCACCCTATTTCCTTACTTTAGCTTAGAAGTAGGCATATGGGAAGTTACACAAAGATGACTTACCGATTGGCCGAAGCTTACTCGATTCCATTCTTTCCAATATCATATACGCCTAGTGAAATGCATCTATCTCCTCTCCTCCCCTTCTTTCTTTTTATCCATTTTATATACCTAGTCAAAGACTACTTCAGATTATAGGGCGGGCTTTTCTACCCATTGATCGGGACCGATCACTGTGTTTGACTGCTCTTGGTATTCAGACCTTGGACTTTTTCGCTAGGAGCTGATCCATTCTTTAAGAGCTCTATACATAAAGAGAAGGCGTATTCACTTAAAGGACTGTGAAATCTACCCTATGCCCCGAAAAGTCTAGGCACCTAAATAAAGTAAAGATGGGATCCCTGACAATAGATTAAGCTATACAATGAGTTAGGAACCTTTTTTCTTCCCCCTTCTCTTCTCCGCTTTGCTCTGTTACTCCTTTTGCAGATGGTTGGTCACCACTCTTAGGCTTTTTGTTCTCTTCTTGTGGTGGGTCTCCAATCTTGATCCGGTGCTGACTTAATAGGGAAACCTACCCAGAAAATGCCCCCTTTTTCGGTCCGGTTAACAAAGCATGTAAACCAAGAGCAGAACGAAGAGCTAAAACGTCACCTTTACCCTTATCCTATTTCTTTCTTACTTGTAAACCAGACCACGTCATTCCTTTTTTCTTTCTTTGGTAAGGAAGGGACAGCTATTCCCACAGGTTGATCTTGGTAAAATGTGCAGCGGTAAGCAACTAATAATCTCGATGCAGGACTGCCGTTCCCATAGGTTCCTCCTCCAAAACCTTCTTAGGCGAAAAAGACTGGAAGGGCTTATTCCCACTGCTGATTACTGAGAACCTTCTACCGGGAAAGCTTTCCTTCTATGCCTAGTGGTTTTTGAATTGGAAATGGGAAAGGCAGAGAGAATTTACTCAAATTCCACTATGTTATGTATACAGTTGCGTCTGGTATGATCGGGGTGCTTTATCTAAACTTGGCAGGATAACTTGGCTAACTTTCCTACTCTGATAGCATCTCTGAACGGCAGGTACCCTCAACCACCGTAACAAAGGAATGAATCCATTAAGTGGGAAAGAGCCCTCGTGGAAGCTATATCCGCGAGGATTACAAGTGTTCTAATTCATCTCGTTACAGACCCACATCAAACATGCAACTGCTTGTCGCATACCCCTGCTACTCTGACCTACGCATCTCACATCGAATCCTTGGTCCTTAAATGACGGTATATTCTTTTTTCCGGGTTCTATGAGCGTAAATGGAGACACTTCCCCCTTCTTCGACATATGAATATGCCTCATCTCGAAGATAAAGAAATCCTGAGTAAGGAGAGAGATTCTCCACACGAACGAACGACCCGTCAGGTTCGAACTGACTTAGGTTGGACCAGGACCTACCTATCTCCACCAAGAAGGAATCGCTTTGGTTACGTAGTTCAGTTGGCAATAAAAGCCTTCCTAATCTGTGGGTCGGTAGGCCAGCCAACTAACTCTTCAAATGAAGAACTTATTTCCCCACACCTATCTCTATGAAACTTCCTTCATAGTTAGGAGAGGTTTTTTTTAGCTTTTTGTCTCTTTTACAGCAGGAAGTTCTCCAAAAGTATGAAAGGCCGAAGGGCTTTGTACCAACCATTCAAGTATGGTTGGATTCTGTTCAACAGACCAAGGACATTCTGCACATTTTTGGTTCTTTCCACCGCTTGAAGTGATTGCGACAACTACGAAGAAACGACGAATCCCAACTACGGATATATAAGAACCGAAACTGCTCAGAGCATTCCATCCGGCGTAAGCATCTGGATAATCTGGAATGCGATGTGGCATACTCGAAAGCCCTAAAAAATGCATGGGAAAGAAGGTCAGATTAACCCCGAAAAAGTGATCCAAAAATGGATTTGGCCTAAAGTTTCAGGATATGTCCGACCAAAGATTTTACCCACCCAATAGTAAAATCCAGCAAATAAAGCAAAAACGGCTCCCATAGAAAGTACATAATGGAAATGTGCAACCACATAATAAGTATCATGTAGAGCAATGTCTAGCCCAGAGTTTGCTAGAGCTATTCCAGTGAGCCCTCCTATGGTGAACAAAAAGATGAACCCTACAGCAAATAACATGGGTGTTTTGTATTGTATCGAACCTCCCCACATGGTAGTGATCCAACTAAAGATTTTGATTCCTGTGGGCACATCTATGATCATGGTAGCTGCGGTGAAGTAGGCACGCGTATCAACGTCTAAGCCCACAGTAAACATATGATGAGCCCAAACTAGAAATCCAAGAACACCTATACTTATCATGGCATAAACCATGCCTAGATACCCGAAGACCGATTTTCTTGAAAAGGTCAATACGATATGACTAATAATACCAAATCCAGGCAGAATGAGAATATACACATGTGGATGACCGAAGAACCAAAAGAGATGCTGGTATAATATTGGGTCAACCCCTCCTGCAGGATCAAAAAAGGTTGTATTAAAGTTTCGATCGGTTAATAACATTGTAATTGCCCCTGCCAGTACCGGAAGTGATAATAAAAGTAGGAATGCTGTCACTAGAACGGACCACACAAAAAGTGGTAATCTATGCATAGTCATTCTAGGTCCACGCATGTTGAAGATAGTTGTTATAAAATTGATAGAACCTAAAATTGATGAAATACCTGATAGATGAAGACTAAAAATTGCTAAATCAACTGCTCCTCTAGAATGGCTGGTAATACCACTTAAGGGTGGATAGACTGTCCACCAAGTGTCGCTGCCCACTTATACTAAGGCTGAGCTTAATAGGAGCAAGAGACCTGGTGGCAACAACCAGAATGATATATTATTTAATCGTGGAAATGCCATGTCAGGTGCACCTATCAGAATCGGAACAAACCAATTACCAAATCCACCTATCATCGCTGACATAACCATAAAAAAGATCATTAAAAAAGCATGAGCCGTTATTAAAACATTATAAAGTTGATGATTCCCACCAAGAATTTGATCACCGGGTCGGGCTAATTCCATATGAATCAGTACGGAGAAGCATGTGCCCATCACTCCTGCAATGGCACTGAAGATGAAATAGAGAGTCCCAATATCCTCGTGGTTAGTAGAGAAGAGCCATCAAACCATATTTGTCATTTTTTATTTGAGAAATGTAAACTTTCCTTATCAAAGAGGGGCCGGGGGGCTGGAAGAGAAAAGAAATAGGGGCCCGCCCGAGGGCTGGAAGAGAAAAGAATCAGAATTACAGAGCTACCCCACTCTTTTTTCTAATTCCCTTCTAAGATCCTCTGACTTAAACAGGTAAAGAGCATGCTCGTGCTCAGCTCTTTCGAGACTTGCCTTGCTCTTGGGGATTTCTTCCCATTGAATCCTCTGTTCCACTTCCAAGCACCTCCTTGTGGAGCTTTCCGCCTCAAGGAGTTCCCGGTTGTGGGAAATAGCATCTCTAAAGAAAACAGATCCTCCCTCATTCTCCCACAAATCTTGATAAGACGCTTGGAGAACAATGAAAGAACCAGTTGCGTGAATATGGTCCAGATAGGAACGAAGCGCTTCATCAACCAAGTAGGGCTCGATCGGTAGATAAGGCCCTATTCTTTGATAAAGCGCCACAAATTCCTGAATGACATCTTGTTGCATACTAGACAGCTGTTCTTCCATTAGGAAGAGCTTAAGCCGTCTGGGTATGTCCTCCAGAGGGGTATTGTGATTAAGCTCGTTCTGAATGAACGTAACCCATCCAGGATCCTGCTCGTTAAGGCTCAGATAGAAGTTTAGCCCTGCTAAATGAGCTAGAGCTTGGGGATCCTGAATCTCTGGAGGAAGAGTAATAATGAAGGAGGCTCTGAAAAGATTGCAAATTGGGAGAAGAATAATCAAAATAAAACACACTATAAATAAAAATAGAAAAATAGAAAATAAAAAAAATCATATATATAAGGAAACTTAATACAAAAGTGCAAATAGAAAGCAGTAAACCTGCTAGTGGAGAAGAGCCATCAAACCATATTTGTCATTTTTTATTTGAGAAATGAAAATTTTCCTTATCAAAGAGGGGTCAAGGGACTGGAAGAGAAGAACTTGAATTCTAAACGCTGGAAGAGAAGAACCTTAATACTAAACCAAGTTTCGGGAACTTCTTGATGACTTGATTGGTTCCCTTCCCCCAATTTGCAAAGGATGATTCCCGTGAAGGTGATCTCGATTACCATTCTATGATATTTCTGGATGCTTTTGAGAAGCTTTTCCTTTTACCTAATGCCGGCTACCGACAACTTACTTCATGCTATTACTAACACTTATGACTGAGCCGCACTTGCTTTCCAAAAGAAATTGAAACTATCATGCCTGAGACTAGCCAATAGAAGAAAGAGCCACAAGCAAGCCATAGAAGCATCCTTTTTCTTAGCTTTCTTCAACAATGCGAATCTACCTCACTCCTCATCATAACTCAAATACAAATTTGAGTTCCAAATTGATATTTCCTCACGTAAGCAATAAAATGTGAAACCAATATTCATCATGAAACTTCAGACACTGATGATTGTGAGGTTCTGGAAGAGAGACGATGTAGGCTGGAAAAAGGTAAACAGAAAACCACCCCTTAAACTCATTTGCTCAACATTCTTTCCACAACAACTAGAAAAGTGGAGAAAATCCAATAAGGGGAGGTCCCGGTGAATACAAATCAATTGGAAACCGAACCCCGCATTCATGTCTCTAACAAGGCTGTCTAAGCTAAGCGGCCATGGACCCATGGACTTGGGGAATCTGAACCATTAGGTAGAGTTTCAGCGGAAAGAAAACCAGGTCAATCTTCCGATCGCGAGTCTTTACAAGCTTGAAACAACTTAAGCACAGGCGGGAGTCGCCCCTTTTAAAGTCAGTATTTATGCGGCGCTAAACTAACGAGCGGATACCTAACCTTCGAAGGAGAAGAAAATACGGATGTATCTTTCATTCATATCGATCAGATGTGCTTTGCTCAGGACTCCCATTTTACCATTGCTTAAGCCATATTACATAAAGCATAGTGAGTGATACGCAATGCTGGTACCACCATGTTTTTTTCCTCACTCTGTGTAGCCACACTCGTTTGTCCATTTCTACTTATTATTTATGTTAAATAGTATCAGTTGGTTGTAGAAGCACTGGCGTTCAGGGATTGCAAAATCCATAATATCAAGAAGCGGTAGGAACCTGGCTAACTTTGATGCGGATAATGCGCTGTAGAAGAAAGTGGATCAACCAAAGTAGAACTTGATCGAAAGGCACCACAAGGCGAACCAATAGAGTGTGGTGTAAGCGGTGAAGCAGAATAGGAATTGGAACTGCTTGAACTAGAAAGGGCTTTCGCTACCACGCTACCTCGGGAGCTCCGGAAACGGTATACTCGCTTCACTCATCTGTAATGGTATCCTTGAAAGCTAGCTAAAGTGGGTTCTAGACAAAGTTCTCCTAAGCAGGGCGGAAGGAAAACAAGAGCTGTATAGCTCTACATTACGCTTCGGGGGCCTCGTCTTACTCACTCACCTTCTACTAATCGGACCGTGACAAAACAACCATCCCAGCAATAGGCAAGGACTGGCTGAAATCCCTTTCCGGATCCAGTCTATCTGTATCTGCTGTCCCTTCCGCTTTTTGTGTTGATGGAGCTCGATCAGATAGTTCTGGTATTGCGAAGGAGGGCAATGCATTGGGATCATCCAATCCCTTCTGATCAGTTGTCATATTGAATTGCAAATTCTCGTATAGTAAGAGTTCCTTCGGTTTCCTACCTACACTACAAAAAAATACACTTCCGTGATGATATGTGTTTGTCATAGTAGGTTGCATTTTTTGTCATGCATGTACATCCATGACAAGTTTATGACAGAATCAAGATAGTCATACCTGTGATGTCGTAGAAGTGTTCCATGACATTACCAAAATTATCATCACAGAAGTGTCCACTTCCATGACGATAAATCGCGTGTCACAGAAGTGCTTTCGTCAAGGGTGACCGACACGTGGCATCCACCGTAACCGAACGCCGTTAAGCTATCGGGTCGGGTTTTGGATCCGATAACCCGTTAACAGCCCTGACCAATGGGGATTTTCCACGTGTAAAATCATCATTGGCTGGAGGAGACACGTGTCAGGTCCGCGCTGGCACAGGTGTCACTCATCCAATGGGCGAGACGCGCCGATGATATGTTGACACGTGGACCGACCCATCAAGTTTAAATGGGTCGGCCCAACTAAAGGCCCACAAGATTTGGCGGACCATAATGGGCCGGCCCAGCTAAAGGCCCACGAGATTTTGCGGGCCATAATGGGCTGGCCCAGCTAACGGCCCACAAGATTTCGCGGGCCATAATGGGTCGGCCCAGGTAAAGGCCCACAAGATTTTTGTTTGGCATAATGGGTCGGCCCAGGTAAAGGCCCACAAGATTCTTGCGGATCATAATGGGCCGGCCCGGCTAAAGGCCCACGAGATTTCGCCGACATTAACGGGTCGGCCCAGCTGTACGCCCACAAGAATTTGAGGGCCCTAGTAGGCCGGCCCATTAACTGGATGCCATGTTTTGGTCCAAATGCCGGCCCATATTTGATCCGGTCCATTAATGGCCTGCCATGTTCCGGGCCTAATAGTGGCCCATATGAGATCCGTCCCGTTAAAAGCCTACCACGTTCTGGGCCAAATTACGGCCCAGATCAGGTACGACCCTTTAAGAGGCTATGGGCTCAATTATGGCCCATATCAGATTCGGCCCGTCAACTAGACACTATGCTCTTGGGCCCACTTGCTAGAGGCCCACTTAGTAATTCGGCCTGACATTAGTTTTGGCCTTAAGGACCCGTTTAACA